GATCGAAAGTTTATTTCTTTACTTTATCTAGCAGAGATTGGTGTCCCCTCTCCAAATCTGCAATAATCGACTGGAAAAATCAATGTTGAACCTTAAATCTTTGGAGAGAGAGAGAGCAAAGATCAAAGGTTTAACAAATTTGAGTTTACAAGGCTTATACTTTGGGTTTCTTTCAGAGATCAGTGTTCTCGCTCTATAAATATTTACAATGTTCGTTTACAGAGAATCAAAAGTTTCTTTGTTTATGTTCTCTTGCAGAAATCAGAGTTCTCTTCCTGAATTTTAAATATTCAATTAAAAGATCAATGTTCAAACATTGAGGATTTGGAAGTAGAAAGGCAAATTTTCATTGTACGCTGTGAAAAGATAACACAAGTATTCCAGTTTTAAACTCTAGGATCCTTTCAGAGATCAATGTTCTCGCTCTATCAATATTTATAATGTTCGCTTACAGAGGATCAAAAGGTTTTTTTCTTTCCTCCAAGAGATCAGTGTTCTTTCTCCAATTTTGCAATATTCGAGTTCAATTTTCAAATATTGATCAATCAAAAGATCAGACGTTTTAAACTCTAGGATCATTACAGATATCAATGACAGATCGTGAATCTGTCAGATGTTCGATCAGAAAAGAGCAAAAGTTCATCAAACTTGAAAATTCGAAAATTCAACTTACACAGATCCCAGTTTCAAACTCTGGGTTTCTTTTAGACATTATTGTTCTAGCACTGTCAAAATTTTGATTATAGAGGATTAAAGGTTTCTTTCTTGATTTTTTTTTTTGCAGATCAATGATCAAATATTGAAGATTTGGATTTCTGTTCGATCAGAAAAGATCAAGAGCTTAACAAACATAATAAATCAGTTTTAAACGAGGGGATTATTTCAGAGATCAGTATTCTCTCTCAAAATTTGTAATATACGATTATAGAGATCAATATTTAAACTCTAACGTTTTGGGAAGAGGGTCAAATCTTTAATTAGGAAGGAGTCAAAGGTTCATCAACTATGCAAGTTCTGAAGTTCAGTTTGCATGATTCCCAAATTTAAATAACGAAAGAGTTAAAAGCGTGCCAAAGTTTATCATCTTTTCAGTGGAAAACTGTTTTAAAAATACAGATTTCTAAAAATTTCTAAAATTTATTATATTCTTTGAAACATCCCCCTTAACAAAAAACAACAACAACGTTCCACTTGGGTAAATAACTCGGTAAATAGTTCTAAACAAGCCAGTCAGCCCTTTTGTATATCATTAACTTAATCTTAAAATAAGAACAATCTTCAGCACAATTTTTTTAAACCATCCAAAAGACAGACAATAAAAATACTATAGGTTAATAATTTAACAACAACACTAACATTAGCAGCAACAACAAAATAATAATATTTCATAAGGGTACAAGAAAAACTAAACCTTCAAACGCACTCTAAGAAAAAAAAACCAAAACAAAATATATAAATAAAAACTACACAATCATATTAACAATAAATGTAGACAAAAAAAATTGCTATAATTATTATTAAGTTTAAGACGTTATGTTTTTATACACAAGAGAGTATAACTAATTTAAGCCAGGGTAATAATTAAAAAAAACAATAACAGCTTTAATACCAACAAAAAATTTAAGTAAAAACAATTGTAAACTACTAGAGAGGAAAAACCAAAACAGTTATTGTTTTTTTCAGGGTTTATTTGTTTAATAATGAAGTTTAGAGAAAGAGAGACAAAGAGAGCAGAATTAAGTATTCTAAGAGAATGTTTAATTCTTCTCTTAAATAAGTAAATGATCTTAAGAATTTCTCTTTTATTGTAATAGCTAATAAACTTGATTATTTATGTAGATTTTTTTCAGTTAATCATCATGTTTCATTAATATATTAATAAATAATTATTTATATGGGTTTTAGAAAGAGAGTGTCTATTAAAGAAGCAATAAAACTACTATATAAAGCGGGAAGTTTAAGAATTTTTATTGGGTATGTAACATTTTAAAGTTAGAAACTTTATCGAACATAATCATTACTTAGTATAATCTATTAATCTTTTAAGAATAAGATCTCGTTACGTTGGTGAAGATTCTGAAGAACTGTTATGAACACTAATAGGTTAGGTTATTGTGGTAGCTGTCATTAGCATTGCTCACTTGGGTCCATTTATAGCTCTCGTTTTAATAGCATTTGTAGTTTTACCATTTTTTCTCTAATCCAATTGTTGTGTTGCCCAAATCGATTTCTGACAGACAGTTATTGTCCATGAGTGTTCGATGGCCAAAATCTTTCTGTTTGCCTGGCAACATCTTCATCATTACAAACTTCTTCAGAAATTATTGTTATATAAGTCTTCTGAGATGGAGTATATTTAGGTTTAACGCAGAATGTGTTCTTTTCCTATCCAAATCTTTTTGATTTTTCTACATTTGGCTTCCTTCTCCCATCTTCTATTTGTTGTAAATTGAAGCTATTCCTTTTCTTTTAACGCCTATTTTATAGTAAATTTCGGTAATATTAAAAAACAGGTGTCTTAGCCAGAACATCTGCTTTTTGGTTATCCTATATGTTCCCATGTCCAGGAAACCATTTGAGAGTAACCGTCGAATGTCTCGCTATCTCATCAAGCGATCTTGAACAAATTTGAATGTGATATACGCGTTTTCGAGGATTCTAATGGCGCCTTACTATCGGTAAGTTAAAGGATATTTCCGGCTAATATCCAGTGATAGTAAATCTGTTCCGCGGCTACTTTTTGTAAGTTGTATATTTAACTAGTTCGAATATATTCATTCCCTCTTTCATTTGATTTTGATTCGTCTGTGTAAACGGACGTCGTAATAATATCTCTCCGGGATGAGACTAGTAGATCCCTTTAGACATTGATAATATCTAAAATTTGGGCATGACACTAGTTCTTGTGCTTCCATTCCTTTGTAATATTTAAACGTTAAGTTGAGGATTATGAACAGTGACTTAGTTGGAGTGGTTCTAAGTGCCCCTGTCATCTTTATTTGATTGTTCGTTTGTTTGCCTTCTTCAGCGATCAAGTATCAACGCTATTTCATAAGTTCAATGAATCTTTGAATGATTTCTTAAGTTGTCACGATCTATGTAGTTAAAAACCTCCTCTTTCTTTGATACATCTCTGATATCACCATTCGTAGATTTTTCTCTTCAAATCTGGATCGATCGATTTGAAACTATCAAAGGCTTATTTCTATATTTTTTTCCTTTCTGAGATCAGTGTTCTCGCTCTGTTTGTAATGTTCGATTGCAGAGAACCAAATGGTTTCTTTCTTTATATTTTATTGCAAAGATCAATGTTCTCGCTCCTCATATTATTAGATTAGAGAGATCTACGTTCGCTCTCCCCAAATCATCAATGTTCGATTAGAAATTTTCTCTTGAAATCCGTATTCTTTCTCTCCAAAATTGTAAAATTAAATTACGATGATCAATAGCAATCCTCTTCTATTTTTTCCAAGTGATATGAGTCACTCTGTTTCTGTTTCGATTTAAAATGATGATACCTAAACATCCCTGTGATGATTCTCTAGATATTAATTACTGACTATCTGTAGAACTCGCCGAACAATTTTCTACATTACAAAGTTTTGTTCCCATGTTTTGGATTGTTGTGGTCTTCCTATTTCATATTTAAATAGGTTTTCTCTTTCCAAATGAACATTGTTCTGTATCTCTCCAAATTTGTTATGTTCGATTAAAATGGATAAAATCATACTTTATCTTTAAGAAATGTATGTTATCTTTCTCTTTATATCTGCAATTTTCGATTGGATCTAAGTTTTCTTTATTTATGTCGTCTTTCAGAGATCAATGTTCGATCTTTATTTCTACATTTTTAGACATCATTGTACATAATCTCTCTCTAAAATTTGATCCTTTTTAGAGATTAATCTCCACACTCTCATTCACAAATTTGCAATATTCGATTACAGAGGTACAAAGATTGATTTTATTATTGTATACTTCAAAGATGAACCCAGTCTCTCTCTCTCTGGGTAATGACGTTTTAGATAATTCAATTCATTCGCTCTTTAAAGTGATATTATAACGTTATAATGTTGTAATTGGGAGATTTCAGGATAATCAACTCTGAGCGTTATGTTATTGTTGGAGGGAGAAGTTTTTAATAAAAATATTTCAGTATTTCTGCAGTTCATTTTAAATATTTTTTACATTTCTTCAGTTATCTAAATTTTCAGCATTATTTATTAAGAACAATAATTGATTGACCATGTAAAAAGCCTTTTTTTAAAAGGCAATTAAATACTCACTTGATTTATAATTATTTCACTTAAATTTTTAAATTAGCACTAACACTAAGGAATGAACTTTAAATTAGTTATCCTTGAACCATATATATTTTTTATTAAGAACAAACATGGATTGTTGTCCACTTGAATAAATGTCATCTATAGCACTTGACACTGGGTTATAAATAATTTATTAGTTTTAAAAAAATTGTTTTAAATTATTAATGAAATGGTTTGTGTACATTTTTTTGTGTTACAACAAATTAAAAGAATAAATGTCTTTTTTTCAAATTCAATATTTTGCTTTTTCTGCCGCGTTTATATTTTTTTATTATTAATAACGTAAAGAATTAAGAAATAAATACTAGAAAAACACATTTAAAGCAAAATTAATACCAAAGATAATTCTATAAAAAAAGAGAAAAATCATAAATTGCTAAGCAATTTATTGATTAAATTTTCTTTAGAATTAAATTAATCATTTCATAAATATATTAAGAGCTTTCCAAGAAATTGAGTATAAAAAGTTAATAATTAATTAAAATGAAGACAAAAAAAAGGAAAGTAGAATTTTTAACCACAAAAATAAACCTTTAAATATTCCACCCATCTAAAAAAATTAAAAATTAAAATATTGGAAAATAAAGATTTTTATAAAAAGTTAAGTGGAAATCATTTTTAAAAAGGATTTTTTTAAACTGGCCTTTTTACTTAGAAGTATTTTAACATTGAATATAGTTTTTTTTGTCTGCTTCAAATATTTATATTCAAGAAAAATCTTGTTGAGGTTTATAGTTTCCTTTGTGGTGTAATTTACAGTTTTAGGGAAATTTGTTTTAAGAATAAATTTGTGCTTTTCCTTTTTTTCTTCAAATTTTAACTACGATTTTTAAAGTTTTAGTAAAATAAAAATTGAATACCTTTTTTTTTGTAAATCTTGTTCTACAGCTTCAACATTTACAATTGCAATACCCGTTTGACTTCAACAGTGGGAAAAGCACCAAATTCACTGGTGGCTGCTCTATGAGGATTACGTTGTAGATATTCCTTAAGGATTTCAGCAGCCAAATGATTGGCTTTATTAGATATTTCAGATTTTTCTGGTACTGGCATATGTTTACGTTGAAAAGCCACTATATGTTGATTTTCTTTGCCTGTTTTATGGGGATGAGTTTGTAGCAGAGACAAAGCCCAGGCATGTTTCATTTTAGTGAGTTCAGTTTCCAATTCTGTGATACGTTTATCTTTAGGTTGTGGCACAAATATGGGATCGAATTTCTTAAGTTTATTCTTGATTTGTTCGGCCTGTAGGCGTAATCTTTCGGAGCGTTCGTTATTAAAGACATGTTTGAGTAATTGCAGCTCTTCGGCTATAAGAGGAGTGGCTCCGGTAGTATGATTGCTGAAGGAAGTATTGGTTGAGTGTCCCGAAGGTGCTGTGGTGGACATAAATGAGGAATCTCCCGTGCGCTTAATGCCGGTATGTTTGATTTTCTCTTTCAAAGTTAATTTCTCACTCTCAAGAGCCTCTATGTCAGATTGCAAATGATCAAAGGTTTCCTCATATTCCTTTTCTTTCTTCTGCAATAATTCTAAAGTTTCCTCGTATTGTTTCTTCCATTGCAGGGCATTATCATATTCCGCCTGTAAAACGGACAATTTCTTTTCAGCCAAATCTTTGCGTATTTGCATTTCCGATAATTCATTCTGTTTCATTTTGGCCGCCAATTTCAGTTGTTTAATATCAGCTTCGCGATTTTCCAAAGTGGCGGCTAAAACATTCTTTTGTTCTAATTGTTTCTTGATCAGTTGGGCTCTTAGTATAATGGGAGAAGTGGGTTTCTCTTGTTTTTGATTGGCCAAAGACATGATTTCGTATTCTTTGTCCAATAGATATTGGGCCACTTGCTGAAGATCGTTGTTGGCGGCTCCCAAAACACCCTTAAAGTTTTGTGATGGTCCACGATCATCTTGTTCGTAAATCCTTTCACAGGCTTGGGACAAAGATTCCCAGAATTTCGCTGGATCTATGCAATGATCATTATCATTGTCTCCTTCTATGGAAGCTACTATAGCAGCCACTGATTGCTTATTGGCTTGATACAAAGCCGACATAATACGTGACAATTGTTGTGTCAAACTGCGCATGGCTTCCAGTTTTAGGGGTGAAATGCCGCACTTAATGACATGTAAATCTTGAGGCAAACGTCTGCGTATCAATTTAACCTGTTGCTTAATGGATTCCACATTATCGGCCAAGAACTGCATGAGTAAAGCAGCATCACTGGTGGAGCCTTCTTGTCTTAGAATGGCTCTCGCTATGGCTGTATCATTGAGTACACTCTCACAGGCTGACTGTATGGCAGCCACACAATCTCTAATCATTTGCGTCTCATTCAAAAGATCCTCGCCAGCCAGCAATACCGAATTCATGGCATTAAAGAAGGCCACACATTTCTCTATGTTATCGGTAGTAGAATTCTCATCCAATTGATTGGATTTCAACAGCTCTATAATGCCATCAATATTTTTCTCTTGGGCTATCATTTCGGGTAAAGAAGAGCCGGCTCTTAATAGAGTATCAGGCTGGCAACTGTTAAGACCATACAAAATCTGATGCAAAGCACATTGTAGGTTATGAATATAATGCATTAAACGACATTTAAAAGCATATTGCTGAACAGCATGACCCTGTATAATGGATTCCTTGGTGACATTTTCCACCGCCGGGAATCTTTCTCTTGTCTGGCTGATAACAATGCCACATTTGAACACCAAACGGGAAATCAACAAGATCACCAAAATAGAATCATGATCTCCGCCACGAGACATAAAGGATTCCGGCATAAAGGCCGATAACATTTGGGTATGTTCATTAGCCTGGGACAATTCAATTTGCCTCAACTGTACATCGATGGCTTTGGTATAAGCCTTAGATTCAGCAAACATTTGCTTATAGTCCACCGTTTCATTGGCTATCATTTGAGGATCTTGCAAAGATTTGGGATCATTAGAGGCAGTGGCCTTATCTCTCAATTCAATCAATTGTTCATTGAGTTTTTGCACCAGTTCTCTAAATTTCGTTATAGTTTGATCTCTATCGTAAATAGTTTCAATGGCAGCATCTCTTTCTCTTAGAACCTCCTTTTTGGCTGCCTGAGCCAAATCCAATTCCTCTCTCAAATCCATTTCCAAATCATGATTGCTTTCTATTAAAAGTTCATGAACTTCTTCTAAAGCCTCCAGTTGTTGCACTTCATCTTCCAATTCCTTGACACGATCTTCTAATTCGAATTTCTTTTCCGTTAAAGTCTGCACCATTTGCTCGGCGCCCAAAGCAGCATCAACTTGTTCCTAAAAAAGGAATAAACATAAGTAAATCTGTTTGTTTACAGTTTAAACAAGAAAATTTTAAACTTTTTTTTTAAGAGAAAAAAATTTACAACACAAATTTTTGCATTACCTCCTTTATTTAGCCCAATTTGTTGGCCCAAAATAAAAGAAATATATAAATGTTTACATGAGTTTAATGGATCAATGAATATTTACACAAAAAAGCAAGTAAAATTTTGAAAAAAAGAATTTAGAAAAAAATAAACAAAATTTAAAAAATAACATAAAGCAAATTGTAAATTTTTGCCAAAATAGTTTTTATATCTGAAAACTGTGACATAAATTTAAAATGTTAAATGCGAAGATTAAAAAAAAATCCGTTTTATAAGAAATTTATTTTTATTTTATTTTCAAAAATGGAAAATTGATTGATTGTTTGGTGTGTATTATTATATAGAAAGTGCAGAAAAGATTAATTTTCAATTTTATGAATTTAAAAAATTTAATTATTTTCAATTTGTATGCAAAGCTCATAAGATTATTTTCAAATCAAATTGCGAAGTAAACTGCACACACCCTTCTGTCGGTGTTGTTTTTATTTGCAACCATTTTCCGCTGTCTATATTTATTGATAACAAAAGTGAATTGCTGCTATTTTTGTAAAAAAATAGCAAAAGTAGTAATAAATTATAAATTATTTACATTACTAACACAACTCTATATCAAACAAAAGAAATCATATGGCAAACACACAAGTAACATTTTTCACAAAAACACTTAAACTCACCTGTAAGTCAGCTACAATAGCCTCCAATTCCTCAACTTTAGATGATAACTTTTCCTTGGTTCTTTCCAATTCAGCTACTTCAGATTTTTTAGTTTCCAATTCCTTGGTTAACTTTTGTATGTCATGCTTGTCATGGGCTGATAAATCACGCAAACGTACTAAGGTTTCTTTTAAACGTAAATTTTGCTGTTCCATTTGTTTAAACTCATAAACCGAGGGTCCACCCTCACCAATGTGGCCTACAGAGGTTTCAGCCTTATCTTGCATTTCGGAGGAAAGCAATTCATAATCTACCTGCAATTCATCGATACGTTCTTTGGCCGCATCTAATTCCAATTGCAAAGCTTCGGCCTTTTCTTCAGCCATTTCTTTGTCCAAAGTAATGAGTTCCACATTATCAGCCAATTCTGCCATTTCCTGGGCATGTCTCTCTTTGGCCTCAATGGCATCTTTGGCTTCTTGCTTAGCTCTTTGTAGTTCTTTTTGTAGAGAAGCCTGGGAAGCCATAATTTTAGTGCGAAATTCTTGCAGCTGTTCAAATTGTAATTTCATTTTATCAAAATCTCTTAAACGCTCCTTATCCTCATTACGTCTCTGTTTAAGAGTTTCTAGCTTCTCATTAAGATCAGTTATTTGAGCCTGCAACTCCTCATTTTGTTTCTTTTGCTCGGCTAATTCTTGTGATGTTAACTGATTAGGTGGAGAAGTAAAAGAGGGAGACCTAATAGGTTGAGAGGGAGTAAATTGGGGTTTTAAGATTTCCATAAAACCAGTCTCCACAAATGAGTTTTTCTTGGACATATTAGCATTTGGAGGCACATCTATTTGGGCCTTTTCCACCAAAGAAGTATTGGAGGCAGTATTATTATCCTTAGACAAAGACGAGTTGTTGGAAGAGGGCTGTAGACTCTTGCGACTGGAGGCTATAGAGGCGGTACTGCCAGTGCGCTCATTTAACGAAGAGGTAAGCTGGGAACGTGAACCGGACAAAGATAAACGGCTGGATGACAAAGAAGTGCGAGGCCCACTTAGCCGGGTTTTAGTCGGTTGGGGTGCGGTATGTTTAAGACCATCTCCACCACCAGCGGCTATATCCTCAGTGGATTTGCGACCATCCGGTGCCGGTTGTATAACCTTTAACTGAGTTGGCCTTACAAACATGCCATAATTGTCCGAACACTCAAAGTATGATTGTCCTTTGATGGAACCATTATTTTTACCTTTTGGTTCATCCAAGACCACACCCACCCACTTGCCCACAGCAAAGCTGGTCATGCCCACATAGGCAATGGTGCCCTGTAAATCTTTGCCCGTCAGCTCTATGCGAGCCCCTACTTTTAGGTTTTTCTCCGACATGTTGTAGTTGTATTGTGCCCCCTTCTTGAAAAGCTGATATCACTTTTTTTTACTCTTTTGAACTAAAAAAGAGAGAAAAGATAGTTTTCTTCTAAAATAATGGTAGGAGTGAGGAGTTAGAAAAAACTTACCTTTAGTTTGTAACAAAAGAAATTTTAAAGGATTTTTCAGCCAATTTTTTAAAAACCAGCCAGCTGGTTTTATTGATTTTAGTTGTTGTTATTTAATAATAAACTGTAAAAAGTATTAACAAAAAAGAAATGCTAATTAACCAAGTTTTGTAGTGAAAAAAACTATTGACATCATATTAGTCACTGCCCTGTTTTGGCCAACGACTGACTACCAGCCACCACTTTTGGTAAAACTGAAGTTTTATGTTTTTCTCGAAAATTTTCATCATTTTATGGAAAAACTTACTTTTGTAGTATAAATTATTGATTAAGGTTTACGAATTTAACAAAATTTTCTTTAAACAATTGCAATTTACGCGTTATATTTGTAAAAAACTTAAACAATTTACGGGTGAAAATGAATGCAGCTGAGAAAAAATTTACAATTGCAATTTTTGACAATTTGTCTAACAGCAGTTTGAGAAGCATAGGTGAAATAAACAAAGTGGCCAGATGTTGTGTTAAAAAAGAGAAAAACGCTAACGAAAAAGATACATTTTAAAAATATAATGAAGATATTTAAATAAATTAATAAATATAATTAATATGTTTATTTTTTAGATATTTATATTTTTGAAGAAAGTTGTCATTTATTTACTTTTAAAAATATATTTGATTTTAATATTACAGTTTGAAGATATTTCTATTATTACAGTTTGAGGTTTGTTGTGTTTTAACTTATTTAGGTTTGAGAGCCACTGCTGGCTAAAGTAAACATGACTTTGACATTTTGTGCATAAAAAATGTAAACAAAACGTTTCATTTGTTTAGTTGATTTGTTATTTGCAAATTTTTTGTTAAAAAATAACATGTTTTCTGAACAAAATCTACACAAATTTGGCACCTCATTGCCTCTACTGGAATTGGGTAATTGTAAACAATAAATCTAATCCTTTATATATGATTTTAATTCCAAACAAACTTTCTCTTTATCTACAGATCAGGTGCCCTCCAAGAAACCTTTATATGTTCAAGATCAAATTGCCACCGATGAACAGGGACGTCGACGTTTTCATGGTGCCTTTACAGGAGGCTTTAGTGCCGGCTATTGGAATACGGTGGGTTCCAAAGAGGGATGGACACCTCAATCGTTTAAAAGTTCACGCTCTGAAAAGGCCTCGGAAAAGTTACAACAAAGACCGGAAGATTTTATGGATGATGAGGATCGTGGTGAATTTGGTATAGCTCCAAAAAGTATAAAAATCAATGAAGATTTTACTAGTGCACCGGAGCAATCAACGGAAAAAAGAAAACGTAAGTTTTTGCAAAATGATTTGCAGCCCATACCCGGCGAGCCGGTATTGCAGCAGCTGATTAAACCCATTAAAGACAAGGCGGCAGTTCGCATATTAAAAACCTGGGGTTGGCGTCCGGGACAAGGTATAGGTCCTCGTCAAACCAGGAAAGAAAAAAAGAAAGCAAGGGAACGAAATAAAAAGGAATTGTATCTAATGGAGAAATATGGCTGCGAAATGCCCTCTACCAGCAACAAAAACTCCTTAAACACAGATGACGAGGAGGAAGATGATGAGGAAGACTCCGAAGAAGAGGAAGATGAGATAACTTTTGCTCCCGCAGACTGTGAATTGCCTCCCTGTCAAATTAAACAAGACAGATATGGCATAGGTTATGAACCCTTGAGCAGGCAATCGGTTTTGGGCGGCAACTTAATGCAAAAACCCACGGAGCATATTAATCTTTTCCAAGCCTTAGAGACAGTGGGTAAAAACAATCAAAAAATTTCCTTCACCGGACAGGCTTTTGGTGTAGGAGCTTTAGAGGAAGATGATGATGAAGATGTCTATGCTTTAGATGATATGACACGTTATGATTTTAGCCTAGAAGACAAAAAAACCAAGAAAATTAAGAAAAAATCTAATGATATAGAAGATTTAGTTTTTGGTGAATTCATGCTGGATAGAAATCCTGCTAAATTGCCGGTCTACAAAGTAGAAATACCTTTTGGTTGGCATCCTCGCAATTGGTATGAAAAACGTTCTCGGTTTGAGCCATTAGATCCTAGAAAACAAAAACATTTAGATAAAATATTTACCAACCACTCCCAGGAGCAAAATATGACACGAGAAAAGAGAGCCGAACTTTTGGATGAGGAATTAAGGAAGACACAACCAACAGCTTCAGCCGAAAAACCCCGAGATATAAAGCAGAGAACTGTAGAAGAACTGCAGCAAGAGTATAAAGAAAGAAAGGAGAAAACTAAAAGTCTTTTGGAGAAAATTACCGCCAAATCTTCTAGCTTTACTAAAGGCGGTATTATATCAATTGAAGGCGAAGAGAAACCTTTGTCCGCGGAAGACATAAGTTCTGCCTTTAAGCCTTTTGCCACAGATGAAAGGAAACAGAAACGTTATGAAATGTTTTTGTCCAAAGAATTCAAAAATGAGGCAGAAATTGAGGAGTTTTTGAAAACCATCCAACCGGTGGAACTGTCCTTGTGGGATAGACAAATGGAGCTGAAAGAATTTCAACAGGCGAAAAAGTTGTATAGACCTCTAAAGGGCATAATGTCGGATAGGTGAGCGTTGAATAGGAAAATAGAGAAGAATTGAAATAATTTTATTAAATTTTCTTTCTTTAGATTCATTACAGAATCCGAAATCAAGGCCGTTGAGAGCGAAACCAAAAAGGTGGATAACAAACAGATCGTAGTAGAACGTACTAAACAGATGTGGAAGCCTCATAGTTTGCTGTGCAAACGTTACAATATAGCTGAACCTTTCAAAGGATTAATGGAAGATGATAAAAAATCCAAATCGAAACAAAAGAAATTATCGGTTTTCGATTATTTGGAAACATCTATCAACAAAAAAGAAGATTTCCAAACGCCCGTAATAATACCAAAACATATAGGAAAACCTCAAGAAATCATCAAGCAGACAAATGCAAATGAGCAACAAACAACATCTACTAACAGCAAACAAGTAGAGGATATACCTAAGGAATCTGCTGCTTTAGAATGGCAGGAAGTTTTAAATCCTTCAGATAAAACTTCTAAGGAAAAGCAAACCTTTACTTTCAAACCTAAAACGGAATTAGAAAAACAAGTGGTAGAAAGTATAAACAAACCGGTAGCAGAGAAAAAGGAATTATTTAAGTCCATATTCTCGGACAGTGAAAGTGAGGAGGAAGAAGAGGAAGGCAATAAAATGGATTCATTAACACAGCTAAGTAAACCACTAAATGCGGCTGCCGCCAATTTGTTACGGAATAATTCTCCCCCAAGAGGTATATTTAAAGCTTTATTTAGCTCTAATAACAAAGAAACTGAAAAGGAGCCAGAAAAGGAAAAGGATAAGGAACCAGAAAGTAACCAAGATAAACTACCTAAAGCTGCAACTAATCTGCCGCCGGAAAATGCTAAAGTTTTATTTAAACCCAAATCTGCCAGAGAACCTAAAGAATTGCAAACTCTTGAAGTAGTAACCAATATCTATGGTCCCGCATTACCTAAAACTTTAACCACAAACAAACCCTTAGAAAATACGAATCCCCTTAAATCCTCTATAGATGACAAACTTTTAGAATTGTATCAGAAACACAAACCTAAACTGCAAGTGACTGAAAAATGGATAGAGAAGGATTCAAAACATGATTCTACGGATACAGACGACAGTTCGGAGGATTCGGATTCTTCCTCAACAAGTGCGGAGGAATCGGTTAGAAAGAAAAAGAAATTAAAGAAATCGAAGAAGAAAAAATCTTCGGATCATAAACATAAAAAACATAAGGATAATAAATTGGGTAAAAGTCAAGAAAGCATGATAAAAAGAAGAAGAAACATAAAAAGAAATAAAGGAAGATGTGTGAA